ATTCGAATTATGATTTCCAGTTAATAGTTAGGGTTAAGAATTAGATTTAAGGTTTTCATCACAAACAGACATAAGCCAAAATGCTATTTTAGCCAAATAGATGAATGAATCTCACACCAAAATTCTAGACCTATTATTTTATCTTATCTGATTAGTTTGTTCATCAATTCTAGTCTCACTGTTTGTATTGTTGTTTTTTTCAATTATCATCATTATCCTTGTTTGAAATTATGATCATAAAGTACCATACTCATTCATTTCATGTCTTATGGAAATTACAATGGATTAATTCACTATAATATCAATATCATCTTGATTATTTTTTATTTTAGTTCATTCAATGATGAGTACAATTGAATGTTGTTTACATTTAATCAACATATGAATATCAGTCAAAATGATGTACATAGTTAACCTTTGTTCATGTTACATAGTAATAATAATAATAATAATAATGTATTATTTAAAAAGTTTACATAATACCACCATCATAGTTTAAATGTAATATGTCAATTTATCAGTAATAAATTTTAAATAAAAATACATTTTGAATCAGTAAGATAGATAAGTGACTGCAGTTGTAATAATAATAATGATAATAATAATAATAATAATATACTGATTATATATTTATGTATCTGTAATAGTAACATATTTAAGTATTATTTAGATTTATATTCGTTTGCATTAATCTAATTAAGGTTAAATGGATATTATATTGTTAAATGAAACTTTAGTCAGTTATTGTATATTACCGAGTTATATTTTAACTTGAAATGTAATGTTTATTGAAAATGTCAATGAAACAGATATTAACTAAAAGTCTCACTCTATCTCAAATTGATAAAACTTAGAAAATATAGAGTTGGAATTTAATACGATGATATATATATATATACACCTGAATTTCCGTGCTTTCCTAACCACAATCTCGTTTGTCGTTCGATATTCCATAAAATAACCGTACAGTTTGATTCTGGAAATTATACTGCTTCACCAAATCACTGATTCCTTCGATTAGATTAAATCAAGTTTTATTTATGCTGGAGCATTCATTTAAATTTGAATATGAATAATCCTTGTTTCCCGTATTAGTTCAAGTGTCCACTTCGTAAAATTATTCAACGCGAATCGTGACTAAGAAGCTTTTAACAGTGTATGAACGTTTATTGTTTTTTATTCACAAACTTGTTGTTATAAATGAGTAGCTTAATAACTAATTGGAGTAAATTTTTTCAGTATTATAAACCATTGATCATAAAACTTTCTAATTTCCTCTTGAGTTTATAAAACAATATTTAGAGTTTTATTTATTTATTTATTTAAACACACAAACATTGGTACAAATAGGCACCATATATATATGCGCTACACAAATCATTTGATTTATATGAGGGCTGGGATACTATTCGAACGCCTAAACCGAAGCAGGTGATTTTTTTAGTGAGCCACTCCCCATGTTCACAGTAAATAAAATATCCAGTTTTCTATTACAATGTGTATAGTAGTAAAGTACTATTCACGACTGTACATTCATCTATACATTTTTAATTCCATTCTTCTGAATATTATAAATATCCAATAAAATCATATTGAACTGGTTTGCTTACAGATGACAGTGAGACGAAATATCAATATCACTAATGTATGTATTCTATTAAATGTAATAACATTAATTATTATAGTTGACTGTACATATGTGCAGAATGAGAAATTACTTGATTCTTTTCTTTTATCATTTACTGACTGATATCTAATCTACATAATATATATTTATTTGATTTATAAAATTCTCTTATCGTTTGGATATTATATGGTTAAAGGTAGTCGGCAGGAGACTTTGGAAATCATCTCCATGCACTCATCAGCAGCTTTAAAGTAACTGGTGTTCAGTGTGGGATTCGAACCCGCATCGCCTAGGTTCACAGTTTGGGAAGTCATATAGCTTCGTATATCTGGAGACATGTTTACAATTTTACGACAACTGAGTTACCACCAGCTGATTTTGTTCTATTTTCTATCTATTAAAATGGCATTTTTTATTGTATACAAAACTGAAGCACGTGAAGATGACATTTTTTGTATGAATTATAATATAAACACGTTTCTTGTTGTCTACCATTTACTATTCAATAGTGGCTTAAATTTCTATCACTTATCCTACTACATTAATATCACAAATAAGGGTATTTAGCTTAGCCAACTAGTCAGTGGCAAATTCGACCAGTTAGCCTTAGTTTCTAATATGTTTTGCATACTTTACTATAATATTTGGTGCTTTCAGATCCTTAAGACCGTATTATATGCGTGTTTTGTTCACCATAATTAATAATCGGTTCTTTCTTTTTTGTTAGCCATATTCAGGTGACAGTGATTAATAAACTCCTCCTTGTGTCACTAGGAATACTTTCATGAGATTGCATTAACTAATTTCTACCCGCTCTGTTCGAACTGAGTTTGTTTCTAACAAAACCATAAAATGAAAAGCGATTACTGGGTGGTATATTCAGTTAGTTAACATGGAAAAATGCTGGAAATCTTGGTGGTAAATCATTTTTAAACAACGATGCAAATAATCCTGGCAAAATTTTCAGCTTATAAGCGTATACGAACTTTTAGGATGTCGTGGAAGTGCATCTGGGGACATTTGGTTATGAACTCGTAGATTGCTTACCATAAAGTTACCTAATAATCAGTTATATCTACTCATGAATCAAGATAATGTAGCGGCTTTTGTAAATTCTTAAACCACAAACCGATAAAAATGGATCAATATACTTTATATTTTATCCTGTCTAGATTTTAATTTTAATCGTAGCTTAAATCGACTGGTGAATTCAGCCATTAAATTATTAAGATCTCCACAAAGTCCCATTCTGATAATAATCCAATATTACTTGTTACTGCAGTGTGCTGTTAGTTATCTGATGTAAATCAAATCCCATCAAAAAATTAGGTTTTAAATCAACAAAAGACGAAATATAATTGAACATCTTGTTTGATCAAGTGAAGTTTTACAAGTTCGAGCATTTCTACTTTAGCACCAAAACAGAATACACATGATGAATATTTGAGGTTGTTATGGAAAATTTTGGTGTTATTTAGTCCTTTGAACTGGATGATTTAATTGTGACGTTTTGTTTGACGTTCTGGACAATATCATCAGTATCTCTTTCCTATAGAATTTAAGAACTGAGCCATGGAGTTGTTGACAACATCAGTGAGATCTCTATAATTAAACAACTTAGCTTACAGAACTCAACAACACTGAAAACAAGAATAATATTTGAGATCATGATTATGACGGTGAATTTCATTCATATTTTTCAGAAATAATATTCTTTTGTATGAGCCTCCTATTCTTATTGTCTAAAACAAAATTACCCGTTTTATATCCCGACGAGAATAATGAAAGCTAACTGTGGGATCTATTTATGGTCCAATACCCTACATATATTCTTATTGTATAATCGTTAAGTAACTAGATTATGGATATTTATATTCCTCTTATAAACTTTATTTTGACCTATAGACCATTATTATATGATTTACTATTCTTAAATCATTCCCAGTTTATTGATTACAGTCTCTCACAATCACACCCACTTTTGGCTTGATCTTGTACAAATGTTATTTTTTATTTATCGTGCGATGTAGTCTGTCTGGTTTGTATATAAACGCAGTATGTTTGAAATATATGGTTAATATCGCGGAGGCTGATATTAGTGTTCTGGACTTAACAGGCAAGGAAAAAAGCCAATCGAGACTCGAATCCGTTCGTTCAGGTGTATGCGTCATTTGTTGGTCGTATGAGTCAGCGTATCTAATTTGGCAATCGTACTCGCGATAGTCGTATAAGTTAGGGACATAACAATCCACAATTTTCTATCACTCGATAAAAGATTTGACTCTTTAAAATCGGTAGTTAAATGTTTAGTTTTGATTAGGTTCAACATTTACAAAGAAATTCATAATCTGATATATTTCTCAACAGATCTGTAAAATGTAGTACATTCGGTTCATTAGATATTCAATTTAAGTAAATTCATTTGTATGCTCCATCCTTTATAGGGTAGATTTAGTAAAATCTAAATTATCAAATTAGATAACAACTAGGATCAGAGGAAAACTGTTCTAATCATATTTAAACTATCGACCCACCGTTTTTAATTTCTGACTCGATTAATCATCTCTGTATATAATTCAGCTGCTATAATCTGTTTATGGTATAGTAATGCGACCTACTTAGTGAAAAACTTGTAGATCTATGTTAACCGGTGAGTAGATGAGTTCGATTTTATATGAACGTCATAGAACTTCGGCAATATTTCGCCATATGGAATTAAGTTTGTTAATCGTACTAAATACTTTTGATGTGGATAATTAACAATCACTCTCGTGATTAGTTTTAATTAAAATATGACAATCAGGTGTATTCTCCAGAACAGTTCAGAATGTCTATCAATTAGCTTACATTAAAAAGATGAAATAAATCATATGATAAATAGTTTATTTTCTGAATTGCTTTTGGATCCGTTCAATTATGTGACTATCAAATCGAGCTGTATCACCTTTCAAAATATAGATTTCAATTCGCTGTAATGAGACGATTTCTTTCATCTTATAAATCCACTCTTGTAGTTTGAAATTACGAAAAATTAATTGCAGAATGATTAAATTTAGATTATGTATTAATTTATAAAATTATTGGCTTATGTTTCAATTTTTGAACGCTTTTATTCTTAGCTTTTTAGAAATGTGCTAAAATGTATGCATTCAGTTGGTATACATCTTTCCAAAGTTTAGCAGCGTAGCAATTTCAGCTATATCCTATTTGATACTTTAAGTATAATAATCACTTATCATTTCAGATTGATAATAACAATAATTCTATCTATATGACATTTTCAATTTTGTTGTCTATTTTGTTAACATTATCGGTTGTTCTTTTTCTAAGTACTTTTTGTCTGACCGTTTTTTTTTCTATCTTTTTCGTTTAGGTAATATACCGACACTTCACGACCTACATTTGAATAATAATCCGAATTTGAATAGTTTACCTGCTGAACTCTCACTATGTGGAAAATTGATTATATTGAATTTAGAAAGTTGTCCACTACGTGCTTTACCTGAACCAATAGTTCAAGGTGGTTCTGCCATGATTATCTATGTAAGTTTTTTTTATAAGTAAACATTTTTATTATTCAACTTGGAATAATTAAATTATCTTGAAATTAGATAAATAGAAAAGACACTAGTCCTTATTGTTTGTTGTCTTGTTCATTATGAGTAGGGTTTATTCTCTATTTTACTTTCAAATAACACTTGCCAAAATATTTGTGATTGCTTATTTTCTATTTCACTCGCTACCTTATTAACTGGTTAAGTATATGAGTGGGAATGAACAGTTATAAACTTTACTCACTCAATTTCTCTTTGGAAATTTAGTAGTGGTAATATCCCATCGTGAGTTATGGTTACGGTTAATAATTTAAACAATCAAATTGTTATACTTTATTTTAATTCATTTTATAATCTACTAACAATGTCATTATTCTCTTGTAATTTCTTATGCCTAACCGTTGCTGTTACCTTGACTTGTTGATTGAGCTTGCCTAGCGCGATGAAGCAATCGGGCCACACCGGCATGAACATTCGTTTTTCAAGGTCCTACTATGTCAGGCAGGTCGATTGAAGAGTGGTAAGACTAAAATCAGCAAACCCCAAGGTCTGAGGGCGAAATCGTACTGCCGACTGTACAAAAGTGTGGTGGCAGTAAAGTGTTTCCCTTAGACAACTAGCATGATAGTGATGTTTCCTATCTGCTGAAGAAGGTTGGGGTTAGAAAAAGTCGACCTTAAAATGCACACCTCGCCTTACCTCACGGATATCCGTCTCTGGCGGCAAGGTCTCAACTAATGCGAAGCTAACACAAAAACTACCCACAAAAAGGCCTCATGTATTTGTCCCTTGGACACTGTGGTCACCCTATCAGGTCAATAAGACCAACTCTAACCCAGTTTCCTATCCAGGTACCTCTAGAAGAACACTTCCATGATGTGGGTAACCGGGAAGTGATGACCACCCTTATACTTCTAACAGCGCTCAAGACCACTGACTGACTGAATTTCTTATGTAATTAGTTACTATTTTACAGAGACAACATATTAGAAATATGAATTATCCTGTTGATAGTACGTTCATATTTGATTTTATGTTGTATAATCGTGATATTTAGAAGCATTTGAATTATTCTACGAACTAGGAATCCCAAAAATAACACAATCTAAGTAAACAGAATTCGGTGAGCAAAAACAAACGTTTTGTATTTCGAATTGGAATCGAGGCAGTCATCAAGTAAGTGCAAATGAATCATTAGTTCATACAAACACCACATTAGTGCATAGGAGATCCGTGGAATTGATAGTAATGAACCCATTTTTAATAGTATGGGGAAATTATACCTTTGATAATTTTAGTACTTCGTTTTTCTTTGAGTATGACGTTCCTCTGACCAAGTATTTACTTTCAAGAGACCTTGGTTTATATATAAGTGGAAATGAATTAATTTTAATACAGTAGCTCGACTTACTGTCCTGATTGTTTATATTAACACTTTACTTGATAGTTTACATCGAAATTATTTTGAAATAAATTAAATTTGTTTGAATTTGAACATCTTGTTCATAATTCTCCATTTTGGATCCAGTGAGTGAACTGGTTTCCATCTTATCACCACTACCACTATTCTATTTCAATACAGTACTTCTGAAGTCTCTTTTCTAAATAGGTGACGTCCGTCACTATTTCATCCTTTGTCTGTGATTATTTCCTTATCTAAGAATGGGAGACGATGAACCATAACCGTCCTCACTCCTGGTTAGTACTTACACAGTTTTGCTGAAGCAATTATTCGATTTGTGATTTTACACTAATTTCTTAAATTAGATTGATCCTATGCTTTCTTACAAGACATCAATAAATACACATACAAGTATGATCTCAAATTATTTCATTATATTGTTCTGGTGGCCAGCTAACGTCAGGAAGTTTGGTCGCATATACTACAGTATTCATATTGAGTAATTTTTTGAACCACATCTTAACATTATGGTGTCACCTCATCCACCATGACTTTCAAGAAATGACGGAAAATAAAACCAATTTTTATGATCTTTGGTTCCAAATGACACACTAATACGATATCTGTTGATAAGATTCCAGTTACATGTGTATTTTAAATCCCCAGTCCACCTTTTTTCTTGACCTCGTTAAAACTTCTCTTCAATTATTTTTTATACATAATTGCGTTAATATGATAATCATCATCATTTTTACAAATTTCTATAAGCTACTTGTTAGCGACTTTCTACTAGCAACCTCCGGCAGTACGTTAAGTTGGATCAGTGAATCTCGTCAATTCCAAATTTAGTGAATCATCAATAACTCATTTCATTAGTGTGTAGGCTTCAACAAGTAACAAAAGATGTCTAAATATTGATTGACAAAATACTTACTCAATAACCGTGACCAATGTTGGACAGTGTGTTCATTTCATATAAAAAACTATAAGAAAAATAACTAGATAGTTTTTCCAAATCTATCATGGTAACAAAACTATCACTAACAGAGAACTAATTACCTATGTTTGAACTCAACAAATAGATTAATCAGTAGAACGATGATAGACAGTCCAACTAATCTCAAGCTACTCTACACACCACAGTTTAGATGATAAATAACTATTAAATCTTCAGTCCTAATGAAGTCATGAAACCTGCATCTCCCTTAAAGTGTGAATTAGAAACAAGTACTAACATGCTACTTGGGTAAGATTTTAGATTGATCTGGAGAGCTAAATTTGAATGCTCCACACTAGTGAACTACCATATGAATTATCTACACCAAACGTCCTTGATAAAAGCCATTGGCTTTACCTATCACCAACTAACCGTATCGTGATTATGCTGTCGAAAGTAAATTCGTTTTTATCTGACTCTTACTTTCCTATTCGAATTTCGAAATATTTAGTGTTTAATGTTCGTTTTCCTGATGGGCATATAGTAAGTTCGTTAGATGAAGTAATCTTCCGTTTCTGTTTCCTTGAAGCATTATTAACCTGACGTACATTTCGTTGTAATATATTAGTTACCAAAGATTTTACATTTCATAAAAATTTGCCTTCCAATCTAATAGACTGAGTAGTTATAGTAAACGTTGAAAAATTTTAATTAATGAACTGGTTATCTAGATAGATTCTTAATTGTTTAGAATTAACAGCTAAACGTTTTAGGAGAATTTGACATTGATTGCCCATAGTTTGTCTTTTAAAACTCTCGTTTTAATTAATTTTATTTTTAGTTCCTTCAACAAGTGCTACAGTTACGACGGCAACAAAATATCTTATAAATACTAACAAGTCAAACGATTACATCAAGTTATTTTGTATTCATACTTTTACTTTGCACTTACACACATAAGTGCCTTATATCTTCCCAACTCACTGACTGTAAGTCAATACAATCTGTATAATGTTATTTTAATTATGGAATGTGTGTGTACATATATATATATATATATATATATATATATATATATATATATATATATATATATATATATATATATATATATATACGTTTTCCCGAAGTTTACTTAATTTAGACAGATAGTGGATCAAATGTTACCTTTCGAAAGTGCTCTGCTGTTATTAACATCTCGGTTTAGTATCTTCCCTAATATCCAAACCAAAATCATAATCACTTCATTCACATCGTTATGGGGATGATTTCTACCTCTCCCAACTGACAATTAACACTATTTTTCCACATTTAGTAGATGATTTCGTTACTAACTTCTAACAATCAAGATGTGTTTACCAATTCAGCTGTCGAAGAATTTTCGACCTTGCTCCATTTATGACTCTTCTGAAAGTTTGGCTACAGATTTTTTTGAGATTTCTTCATAAGATGTATATGCTATTTAGGATAATATTACTTTATACCTCATTTTGCAGTACTTTGCTAGTAAATCAAAAATAAGTTAGTTAATCAACTAGACGAAAAAACTAAAAGCTGAGATCTTTTTTATGTTTGAAGACTTCCGTCGTCATTAAAAAACAATTATTAGTATTCTTTATCTAAAATGGTGGACTATTTACAGTTTGATATTTTCTCATTGGAATACTTTCTTTCTTTTCAAGAATCATACCGACAAGTTGACAGAAATAAGTACATTTTCTACTGTCATATGTTATAATTTGATGAATTCTATTATAATAACTCGGTTTCTAAGATTTTTTCATTTAATTCACTAATATATGAATTAAGTGTAGCTTATTTGGAGTCAACTCCGCCTCTAACTCTTCTAGGGCTACCTCCGGTCCCAAGCCTGGATAAAGGAGGAGAGTTGGGTGTGGGGTTGGCAACCCCATCCCGTAGAAAAAACCTTGCTAAATAACACTAACCAGAATAAACATTTTGAACCACTTAAACTCTGCTCTCCGAGTTCAAGGAAGAATTATGAAGCCTTATGATGAAAGCCGATATTCTTCAGAAGTCACGAGGCCCATGCTCCTTCTCACACTAGAGCAACAATTTTTATTAGTACATGGATTGTCCGGACAATGTTGGAGACCGGGAGAATCAGTTATATAGCAACAAAAAATGAGGAGATACAACTTTGCGGTGCTCGTAATCAACGAAACGCATTGCACACAAACTGAACAGAAAAGGATAGATTTAGGAAAGATTCTGTTGTATTCTGGCCATGTAAAAGTAAATTCTCTGCACACTCAGAGAGTTGCTTTGATGCTGTCCAAAGAAGCACGAAAAGAACTTACAGGGTGGAAATCTCACGGATCCAGGATCATCAAAACATAGAAGCAAGTAAAGAAGAGCATTAGAGCCGATAAGCAGAAATACGTGGAAGAGCTAGCAGCAAACGAAGCTGCAAGAGAATCAAATATGAAAAACTACATGATACGACGAAGAAACTGACAGAAATATATAGTAAACCAGAGAGACCAGTCAAGAACAAAGAGGGTGAGCCAGTCACTGGAATTCAAGAACAGATAAACAGATAGGTGGAATGCATCAAGGAACTCTTAACTAGACCAGCTCCATTGAATCCACCGGATATCGAAGCAGCACCTACAGATATTCCTATAGATGTTACTCCACCATCAAGTGATGAAGAAATTATGACAATCGGACATATGAAGAGTGGGAAAGCAGCTGAACCTGACAATATATCAGCCGAAGCACTAGCGTCAGACATAGAATTAACTGCAAAGATACTCCTAGTTCTATTTAAAAAGATTTGGGGAGAAGAGAAACAAGTGCCGACGGACTGGAAAGAAGGATACTTCATCAAGATGCCAAAGAAAAGAGATCTGAGCAAATGTGAGAGCTGCAAAGGCATCACACTGTTGATGGTTGACTGGATTATGAAAACCATGACATCTGAGGGGAAGCACGGAATTAATCGGACAGGTTGTATGCAAATAGACGATTTGAACTTACAGAGCTGAAACGTGGAAAACTACCACAACCATCATGAAAAGGGTCCAGGTATTTATGAACAACCGTCTACGCAAGATACTGAATGCTTGTTGGTCTGATACCATCAGCAAAAGCCTATTGTTGGAGAGAACAAAATAGGTTCCAGTTGTAGAGGAAACTAGGTAAAGACTTTGGAAGTGGATAGTACACGCATTGAGGAAATCATCAGATTACATCTGGAGGCAAGCGCTAACTTGGAATCCTGAAGGGAAACAGAAAAGAGAAAGGCCAATTAACACACTGCGTCGAGAATTGGAAGCAGACATGAAAAGAATGAATAGCGAGTGGAAGAACTGGAAAGGATTGTACAGGACAGAGTTGGATGGAAAATGTTGGTGAATGGCCTATGCTCATCGAGGAGGGGATAACAGTCATAAGTAAGTATTTTTAGTGCATAATGTTGATAATCATTTATCACCATTCGCTGTTTGTCTATCGAAGCTTTTCATATTAACATTATTCTAGTTATGATATATTATGTATTTATTCAATTCTTCATTTATTGCTTGTTTTTCACCTCTTAACGATATTGTGAATACTACACAAGAATGCCTACTGATCTATTCCGCTAAACAGATTAATTTATCATCTGAATATTGGAGTACTGCAGATATATAGATATATATAACCTTCTTGTTTGTATTCTGTCTCAGGCTGTTGTGAACATGTTAATTCTCAAAGTTTTTTTTAATTCAAAGGAAACTAACCCGTGTAAAACAAATAAATTATATATAATTTCTGTTACGGTAACCTAGTTTGCGCATTGTCCTCTCTACTGTATCATGTAATTTCATGCACTCACATTCATTACTGACTTATTATTTTATGTATATACATATTTTCTGTGTAACAAGTAACATATGATAATATGCATATTAACGTGTCGTAGCTCTATAGATCGTTTTACTCATTTCTATTGTCCTAGTTCTTCTTCTTCTTCGTATAATGTCGACTTTTGACAAGTGATTAAAAATATCGTTCTTTCATTATCGTTATTAAATGAACTGTTAATATTTACATTATTGTCTTTTCAAAATGATATATTTCTTTCTGTTATTCTAGCTGTTGTTACACTGTGAAAGTATATCATACAGTTATATATATAGTTGTTGACAATTTATTATCTATAACATGAGGACTGTATATATAAAATGATTTACTTTCGTCATTATTATCAAAATGTTCAATTAATGCGTTGACTTAAATTTTACCAGTCATTTTCTTTTGTTTTTCTGTGACTATTTCATCAACACTAGTATTACCTATTATTATTGTTATTATTATGACTATCACTATGTTTTTCCTTTTCATATAAACAATTTATTAGTTTTTACTTTGATGTGAATTCGATTACTTTAATTTGTTATATATATATATATAGCCATCAGGCTGTTTAAATATACGTAACCATCATTAGTTCATTATCTCCAGGACAACTCCCTAGAGTTTTAATAGTATGAATATATTCTAGAAAAAAGTAAAAGAACTTTGTTTTCACTACATTTGTTTTGTTTCATGTGATGGGACAAGAGTTCACTTAGAAAGATGTACAGTATGTTTAATCTTTTGTTCATAAAATTGATTGCTTTTTACATTTTTCTATCACTGGAATGGCATAAAAATAATTTATTCACACCTAGACATTGTAGTGGCTTGGAATACACAAAAGAATAATTGAATACTATGACAAGATATGTAATATACATAGTGGTTTTAAGTCCAATAGCCTACTTAAGTCTCACGATTATCTAGGTTTTCGTGGAACCTAACTGACAGACTGCACTTATGTCGGTCATGCAAATTATTTTGCCTCGCAGGTTTCCCCTTCATATAAGAACAATCAGTCCCAAAATGTTCGTGTGAACAAAAAGTTTTAGAAACACTGAGGATCTTTCAGATGGGACACTGTTAACGTCATCGTCAACTTTGATTCAGAATTCCATAAAGCCTAGAAAAAATGTCTTGGATGCATCAGGTGTAGTGAATTATAAAATGGTTTCGTGACTTAAAATAATAGAGCTGATTTATTTAGAAGCTTCATAGCCCTTCAAAAACACTGATATCAGAGTCGGATCCAAAAATTTTTAAAGACTTTAAAATAAGTTTAACTATGAACAAGTTCTTGAGCAGCCTCCTAATCGGTAGTACAGAAGTAAGGGTTCAACAAAACTTAAATTCACAAGGACCTGGAAGCTAGGCTACGTTGGATAGTTACTAATCAAGATGCTCCTAGAAACAGTTACCGAATTTTCTAAGGCTTGTGGTGAGAGCGTTCACTGAAAGAAGCGTATTTCTGTGGGAAATTAAACTTATTAGGAAACACGACCAAAAACATTAAAACTGGTTGATCGCCTACTAAGTCTTGATACTACAGTTGATTCATACCAGATATCTCACATGAAATAGGACTTATCTTCTGTCAATATAACAGTAATTTATAACATCATGTCTTGGAAAATTATTTGATATATAGATATGGGTACTCGTAACAGAGAAGCATACTAACTAATGCGACACATTGAAATTCAAATTACAGGACGCATTATGTTCCAAGGCCCTGACTTAACGTGTTTCTGATGACATTTCCTGCGTTGACCTCCAGTCTTCATCATATAGGTGTGGAAACTTAGTGGTAATTACTGGATTGGCTGCTGGGTTGCGTAGATTTTTATTTATGATGGATTTGGATTATTGTTTCCTAAGCCAAACTTTGTTCGTCCCTAATGGATACTATTCGATCTCGAAAAGGCTTGTGATAATGTCGATCATTTCTCTCTCTGTCATCTCGTTAAGGCTACGTAATTAAAATTCCGTGGTCTTGAAAATAGTCACTTCTACTACTGCTTC